AAGATACTGGAAAGATGGCCGGTTCCCTGTACCGCTCTAGGAAGTACCTGACTTCTCCTGCTACCCCCAAACTTTACAAGATCCAGATCAGACCGAAAATTGATTACTGCTGCCATATATGGCCACGATCTGCGCAATCTTCACTTTCTGCTCTCGACAGAGACCAAAAGCGTTTCCGCATCCTTGTGGGTGATGAATTATTTTCCATCCTACAACCCCTTTCTCCCAGATGAAACATTGCAAACCTCTAGATGCTCCATCGTTATTTTCATGGAAAGTGTTCAGACGAACTACACCATCGTATTCCATTGGTGAGATGTAAGTGCCACTCGAGCAGTTTCTTCCCACAAACCTCTACTTTGTGAAACCAACACCCAAGACGATGCTTCCCTGATCACTACAATCTTAATCTATTCAAGTCAAGAGTTAACCGTTATGTTCCCCCCATAAACTTACTCTGTCACCCTCGTCTCGAGTGGCTCTTGGGCCTTGTACAGGATGAACATCACTATAAAGAAAAAAAATTCTCATAAAAAGAATAAATACCTTTACTTACATTACTCGGACTGTTGTCCTCATTGCTATATTCACAACGTTTCGGCCGTTGTACGCTCCAGCCTTCTTCAGGATATTCGAATTTCTAAACGAAACCTTTATTGTTCCACATGCCATGCCTATTCCGGATATTTCAGTTATTTCCCTTTTAACTCAATTCACCAAGTTTGGTTCACCACTGCTGTGGCCTGCTATTGAACTCATGACTCTTTGGGCCAAGTCACTGGATCTAACCAAAGTCTTTATCCACTGGGCCATGTGTTCTTGAGGACATCAAAGTAGGAATTTTTGAGACTTATAAACCTAATGTCTCAGCAACCAATATTGTGAATATCGCAGTGAAGATGAGGATAACAGTCCGAATAATGTAAGTAATCATAATACCTCATCTCAGAGATATAGAGGCTAAAACGTTGTGAATATGGCACTGAAGATGAGGATAACAGTCCGAATAATGTAAATAATGTAAGTAATCATAATACCTCATCTCAGAGATATAGACAGAACAATACCTTTGTATACCATTGTATATTGTTTGAAACTCTATACTACATTTTACACCACTTCTAATTTTTAAAGTCAATGAGTTATATTTTTAAATTAGCGTTACAAAAATATCTCTATCAACAAAAAGTATAAATTAGGAATAATTATCTATGTCACTATATATAACATCGCAGATTATATATCTCGCTATAACATAAGTTCTCAACTCAGTATATATGTTGATGACACCTGTCTTAATGATAAATCTGATCAGTTCAATAAGATCAAATTGGCAGCTTATCTAAAAAATGACCTACAATCTGTTGTTATCTGGTACAAAACGTAACTGCGCTCTTTTAATCAGCTTAAAGAACGTGTGTCTTCCATTAAAATGGTTGATGCTAACCTCCAGGAGAATGACTCGTTGCGTCTTTTCGGGGATACGTTTTCCGCTAACATGAAATGGAACGATTATACTGAGTCCCTTGGTAGGTCTGCTACTAAGAAAGTTGGTGTCGTGCTATACAATTTTTCTCGCCAGAATCTATCTTATACATTTATAAGTCTGTAGTGGACCGTGGCGGTGATGAGTATGTAGAAGAATACACATGAGTTAATATTTCCTGCTAGCCGGTCCAACTATATGAGAAAGTTGGACTTTAATTAAGTCCAAAGAAGACAAGGAAAATGTTATGGTGGAACCACCTATTCTATAGTTAATAGACTCTCCCATCTATAATAAGTAGGAGTAGTAAGAGTAACGTGAGGGTCGGTCAGTCAGTGAGTCGATGTCGGACGACAGTTAGTCGAATACGAAAGTATCAGCGATCACAACCAGATTACTCTGCGTTATACCTATTATATCAAGTTCCTAACGTTTTGCACGTCGAACCTATTTTAGGACCGACTTAGTACAAATACAAGCCTCCACTGCGAAATAACTCCACAACATAAAAAACAAACACAAGACCGATAAATATATGTAAACAAATATGTGTATTAATAACATGAAAGGTTACAAGTTACATGGACAGTGACATGGGCAGAGTGCGTGTGGTGAATATTATGTGTGTGTGTTGTGGTCAGTGTTCGTACGTACGTGTATTGTTCTTAGCGTGTTCCCAGCATTTGGGAAACGCTGTATCTGTGAGCGTTCACATCTACGAGGTGGTATAAGGTCGAAGCCTGAGGAAAAAAGAGAAAGATGCGAAGGGACAGCCAGTATTTATAGCCAGGGAAGAGAGACCTCTGGTGAAGGATTAAGGAACTAAAGGAGGAGCTAACTCCGACAAGTCTACCACTTGTCTATGCAGTAAATATTGCGGTAACATCTGGTCTGGTGCTTCTGCTATGTATTTAAAGAATCTTGATAGAATCTAGAAAAGCATCTGCAATGTTATCGGTCCTGATCTGGCATCTCGGCTTCTGTCTCTTTCCCACAGCTGTAATGTAGCTTCTCTGTGTTTTCTATGAATATTTTCATGCTAATTTTTTCTGATGAGCTTTTTTTTAATACTGATTGGCAGCTAGGTCTCATCATTTTACCTTTGAAATGGCTAAATGTAACCGTAAGTTCTGTATTAACAGTTTCTTCTCAGTTTCTTCTCTTGCTTGTAGAATTCTCTTCTGGCTTCTTGCTTTCCAGTCAAATTTGTATTTTTAAAAAATTTAAATGCAATGTCAATTGTTATCTTCAGTCTTCTTAATTCCTGTTCTTCTATTGTTCTTCCTCCTTAATAACGTTTTTTTTTATTTTTCTCATATTCATTCACACTTGGTAACCTATTGCGTCTTAGTGGCTTTATTGCTTGCTTGGGGTGAAATGATTAAAAATATTTAACACCTAATTTTATAAATATTTAGCCACAGCAATTATTATTATTGCTATTATACACTTAGAAAAGAGCGCGATTTAAGAAAAGAAAAATGTTTAACAATATTTTGACAGAATGTCTGTCTTTAAAGTTATATTTTTTAAAAATTATATACTAGTATAAAAATAAGTATTTGATTAATTGTTATTACTAACTAATCAACTAACCGAAAATTTCCAGATGAGGTCGACCCATCATGCTACATACGTTTCAGTTGCATTCAATTCAGGCTAGCTGCGTTTCATTCGTTTTGTTTGTGACTTTGTCGCGTTGATTACCAGTACAACCGTTTTTCTCAATGCATTCAACATTTGTACAAAGACTTGTAATTTTAATATTTTTTTTATACATGTAAGCAATTTTTAAACATAGCTTGAAAAAGACAGATATACTGTCGAAATATTGTAGTGTCTTTTCTTTTAAATCGCGCTCTTAAGTGTTGCAAAATACTGGAAGAGATACTTCAATCATTTTGTTTGTTTATTATTATTATTATTATTTTCTTTGATTTCTGGCGTTTACACATTTCTTTCCGGGTCCCTCCCAGGGACCTAAGGTTAGAAATGGCATCATGACACTTTCCATAGACAAAAAAAAAAAAAAATACATAAAGCCCTTCGTAAAGTGTGGGCTGTACTTGTCAGAACAATTTTTTGTATCTCCTTGAGGCATGGACTTCCAGGAATCCCTTCAATTAGTCTACTGCAATCTTTTCCAACCAGTCCTAGGGCTCCAACTACAACAGGGATTGTTGATGTTCCCATATATGATTTTCGAGATTTCTATTTCCAGCTCCTTGTATTCTGACAGCTTTTTTAATATCTTCAAAGGTACATTGCAGTCAGCAGGGACTGCCATATTAATAATAATAATAATAATTACTATTATTATTATTGTAAAAAAGGTTCCGATATAGATTCATTTAAAGGATTCCTGGTAGTCCAAGCCTTAAAGAAGTACAAAAAATTGTACTCATAAGTACAGCTCACACCTTCTGAAGGACTTTTATATTTTTTATGTGATCTTGTTTTTTTTTTTTTCCTCAAAAAATGCTCACTGGAAAATGTCATAATGCTATCTCTGACCTTAGTTGGGACCCGGAAAGAAAATACCAGAAATCAAAAGAAATAAAATAAATAATAACAATAATCAATGGGTCTGTGATTCGAACTGAGATGATTCAGTCAACATCACTTCTTGGGACAGCCATGATAATTCTGAGAAAGGTTTTTTTTACTTTTTTTGTCGATATACATCTGTAGTGTAGTGACTTAGTGACTATGATCATTTGTTTCTAGTTAAATTACGGCATAAGATCTGTTGATGATGATGATAAATAATAATAACAATAATAATAATAACAACAGTAGTAGTAGTAGTAGTAGTAAGTAGTAATAATAACCACCAGTTAACAACAAGTAAGAGTGTAAGTAGTAGTCCCATAGAAACGTAAGCGGACTTTTAGTTTCGCTTTTTCTCTTCTATTTATATTGGACAATGTATGCAGGATGCTTGGATAAGGAATGAAATGCATGTTGTCGATTGAATTGAATATTATTAATTAATGAGAACAATATGTTTAATTTTACAAAAATAATATTATGAGAATTAAACTCGATAAAAAACGAAATCATTTTTACTGAACATTAAACGTTCAATAATCACAATAGTAATATTTTCATTGTCTCTGTCTTAAATTAACAAGAGACCTGACCTCACGATTTAAAAGTGTGATGACCGTAATCTCGATACCAAAATTCCTAGTTAATGCGTTCGCGCAAAATATTTATGAATAGAATATTGTTAATACCTGTATAATAATTTTTATTTTCTAAAATATCATTTTTTGACGATAAATGATTTTATTTTACCTTTCTATTTTCTTTATGCTAGGCTTAAAAACAAAAAAAAATGCAGTGTAAGCATTTTGGTTCGTAGCTAAATTAGCACATGATTAAAGCAGCAGCAACAACGACGACGGTGAAGTTAGAAGGAATAATTAAGAAGGTTTTAATAGGTGGCTACTGGCGACTTGTTATTGTTGAAATAACAGGGAATTGACGCCGATAGCTACACTCCAAAATCATGGATATAGCGGTCTCTTCCCGTAGGAAGGCCCTGGCCATCCGACAATGGACTGTTCAACGCAAAAACCTCGTCAACGTTTGCAGGTAAGAAAATTAAAAAGAAAACCATTTGAATCTTCATCTTTTTTCTCTAGGTCCTTCCTTCATCATTTTTGTTAGAAAATAGGAATAAGCTATTTACTTTTTTTCTTGTTATTTCCAATTATTCCTTGTTTTATTTATTTCCTTTTATTTATTAATTTTTACCATTTAGTTAAATTATAAATTTCATTTTAAATTAAATATTTTTATGGCGATAAACATGTTTTTTTTGGTTTTTTTTTTTTAAGAATGTGAAGGAAGAATAATTTATGTTTGTTAAAAAAGTATATAATTAAAAAAAAAATGACTGTCCTTTTTAATTTTAGTCTACTACTCTTTTGATAATAAAAACCACAATTGTTGTATTTTTACATCATAAATGTTACTCCTTTTTTTATTTAAATAAAAAAAAAAGTAACACTGGTGTTGTCATTTCTTTATTTAAAAATACTGATGGGAATAATAAAAATATACTTTCACTTTTAATATCCTGATTGTTGTAAAATCGATCAATTAATTAAAAAAAATGACTGAATCTTAAATTAAGATTCTTAATTAATTGTTGCCTAAAGAGTTTTTGTTTTTAATTATAAAATTAAAAAATATAGCAAGAGCAATAGAATAGTTTTCCTTTATTTTTATTGTCATTTACATACATTTTTTATATTTTTTGTATAATTTTTATTTTATATAAATTTGTTTTTAATTGTATTTTTTTTTTTAAATTAATTCGGTGTTTTCCATTCCTTATTTTGAAACTTTTTATTGACAGTTCTCTGGTTGAAATTAAGTTTATGAATTTAAAAAAAAATGTTAATACTTTTTATTTTCGTTTTTAATAATAATAAAAAAAAAACAGTTTTTTTTTTTTTTTTTTTTTTTTTTTGTCATTTTATTTGTAAAAAAATTGAGTTCGAAAATTCAATTTACTGGTTAATTTTTCAGTTAAATTACCGTTTTATTTTAAATTTATTTATAATTAATAAATGTTACAAGATTTTAATTTTTTATTTTTTTCAAAATAAAAAACTATGTATTTGTTTTTATTGGAGATTAACATAATTTATTTTATTCTTTTAAGAGCTTTGTGAATTTTTTTAACTGATATTTTTTTTAGTTACTCATCTGAAAATCATTGGATATATACCAGAAATAAAAATCATTGAAAATTGACATTTTTTTTTTTTTTTTTTTTTTTTTTTTGTCAGTGGGTTGTTCAGAATACGAAGAATTTCGGAAATCGGAAATCGTTCATTATTTACTGGAAATGATTACCTTCTAGTAAAAATCCTGTAGCAAGTAATTTTTTTTGAAATGTAAAAGAAAATTTAATCTTCATTATTGGCAGACATTTTAATTATTTTCCCATAATGACGTCTTCATTTTCTGATGAATTACATCATTTAGCTACACAATAACATTTGACTTTTAGGATCACCCGATCCTTACAACAAATCAATCCATCTTTGAGACTTTGCTTCAGGAATCGAAATAGTCACAAGAAATGCAGCCGAAAAGGAAAGGACAAACGTCGCAAAGGGAAAGTCTTGTTCGCTTTACAAAGTATCCTTGATAATAAACTTTTTATTTAATAATTCATTTTTTTTTTTTTTTTTTTTTTTAAGTCAATGCCCAAAATGGTAATTAAAAAAACACAAATCCTCTCAAAAAAAATTTTTTTTTTAATGTTCCTAATTTCTAATTTAATTTAAAAAATTAAAAATGAACTTTTTTCATAATCTTGGTTGGGATTGGGAGTAAGAAGTTTTTTATTTTTATTTTTCGATTAAAAAAAAAATTGTAAAATAAAATGATTTTCCAAGCGTAGATTAGATGTGTCACAAAGCCAAAAGTAGGGGGCACCCAGTGAGAATCGAACTCAATACTACTCAGTCGTAATTGTTCTCTAGCGAGACAAGCTTGCTAAAGATGACACCGCCTCCAGTGCCCCATTTGTTACAAAGTAAAAATGCTTTCTGCTGTCAAAATGTTTTAGATATGACCAATTAGTAAGAAGAGCTTTTAGTATTTTTTTTCATCCTTTTAATGTTTTAAATTAGAAACAAGATATCCAACATATTGGAAACATTAAATTCAAAATACATTCATTTATTGTTGTGCCTGGCAGCTGTTTCGTTAGGTGATAATTATTAAATAATAAATTTCATAGGTTTCCTTGTTTCTCTGTTCTAACAACAAAATGTGTCAAATTTTATATAAAAAGTAATTTTTCACCCACGAAAAATAAACTAGTTTCAAGCTGCACTCAGACATCTTGTCAGTTTCGAATTTCTAAAATGGCAAAGTGCCTGTTTTTAGTGTTTCACTGTTTATGTATGAATGATGTTCATTTATTTTATGACCAATAATCAACTATTACTTACCTTGTCATCAGTTTTCTGTTTTTCCATACTAGGAGATCAGATGATTTATTTTTTGTTTACACACACTTCCTTGAAAATGGGGAAGACTGAAGAGTCTTGCTATATAGCGTACTGTGACGTCCTTCGTAGCCGAGTAGTAAAGCACACCAGATCAAACGGTGTTTTCGCCATTTATAAAATATTCATGGAGAAATAAAAAAAAAGAGCATTCATGATGAAAAAATGCCCTAAAATCTAATAAAAACAAAGTTTTATCGCCAAACTTTTAAGATTAAGAGGAAAGACCAAAAAAGGATTTTTTTCTTATTAATTAAAAAAAAAATTTATCTCCACGAATTCGCTGAAAAAAGAACATACCATGATGAAAATTGCCCTCTACACACTATAATTAATTAAAAACAAAGTTTTATAGAATCTTTGATTTATTTATTAGGAAAGACCAGAGTATTTTTTGATTATTATATTTTTTTCTTTTAGAACTTTCGAAATTTTGGTTTAAAAATTTTTTTTCAACATTAAGAAAATTTTAGTAGTGTCATTTTTGCGGTGAAAAACACTTTGATTTGAAAATTCTTGCAAAAATCAAATTGCCGGATTCTAATGAAACTTTTAGGACTATAAAATTATTTTAGAATTTTTTTTTTAATTTCTTTATCTGTTAGTTACCCCAATCTCACCTATTTAATTTTATGAAATTTCAAGATATTAACTTTTTTGTACATCTTAGTGCGTGTGTTACACTAACAATTTTTGCTTTCGTGCTTTTCATTCGAAGATTAATAAAAAAAAAAAATTAAAATAAATTCTATTCGTACTTAAAACAAATAGATTTGTTTTATTTTACGTTACCTAAATAAAATAAAGTAATTTATTTACCAAAACGAAACCTTTAAAAAAAACCTTACATTTACGAATACAATCTTTTAAAAACATTTTCTCTTTTTCTTCTACCCCGCCCCCACAATCCCCTTTTTAATTTTCTTTCTTTATTTCACAAAAAATTCAATCTTCTTAAAACTCATTCATTGGCAGTGTTACAGAGTACAGCCGTTTCAATTTGCTTAAAATACCTCACTTCGCAAGAATATTTTAAATGGGTTTTTCTTTTCTGAATAGACTTTAAAAAAATAATTCCACTTTAGTGTTTTTTGTTTAGTCTATAAACAAAAATGTTGGTTCAATCAGTTTTTTTTTTAAATCTTTTAAAATCTTAAGCACATTGAAGGTGAAAAGAATGAATTGATTAAAAAAGAAAATCGCAGTTTTGTTTTGTTTTTTGTTTTTTTTTGTTTTTTTCGATTCTCGCTTTTGAGTTCCCTAAATCCACTCCAAAAATAACCTGAATGTGAATAGTTTTTAAAAAATCCTTTTAAAGATTAATCTATGGAATAACTGTTGCCCCCCCCCACTACCACAGCACCTTTTTTTTTTTAATTACATAAAGAATTTTCAAAAAGAATCTAAATCTCTTTCAACACATTGATTGATTGTAGAATTTTTTAAAAACATTATCTTTCTGTGTAACGTTATCTTCTATTAAAAATGAAATTTATGTGAGCTTTTCTTACAAATCTTTGTTGATCATTCCTTTCCTTAAAGCCTTTTAAATATGAATTTTATTTTATCACCACGTAACATGAACAGGTAATATATACGTAAGCAACAGGAGTTTTCCCATCTCCAATATGTTGCAGATGAAAAAAGTATGTTGTTCAGTCTCATGAGCTAGATGTGTGGGAGAGGAAATTAACTCGGCATTCTTTGCTGCTTTTTTTTTATCTCTTTATTTTTTCGGATTCAAATAAAGCTTTTCTCAGAGTTAATAATTAATTTTATAATTAAGAGAACGATAAAAATTGCAAAAACATTGCAAAACTAAAATACTCTCAATGAAGTTATAAGATTTTAATTATTAAATTCTTGTAATTAAGCACTACCACTAATTATTTCAGTATTTATTAAAGTTTAATAAATCCTGAAGTAATTAGTGTTTAGAGCTTAAATCGGTGTTTACTTTCAAAATAATTAAATAATTCATCATTTTTAAGTTTATAATCATCAGTCGCATGACTAGGTGTGGTCATAGTGTCACTGCACAGATGAGCACCTGACAAGCTCCAGCCACATGTCTCTGTAGGTATTCATTCATGTATATAGCATGTGTTGGTTAAAATAGACATGGCAGAGCCCATCCATCTACAAGTATTTTTAAGTTCACTAATTGAAAAGACATTTTGATTTAAAGATTACAAAAAGAGAAGTAGTCAGACTTTAAAATAATTTTTTTTTTTTTTTTTAAAGTAAATTAAAAAAAAATGTTACCGTCTGTTGCAGAATACATAGGCCTCTGCATTTATGTTTTAGAAAAAGAAAACAAAACTTTTCTTTTTTTTTTTTTTTTTTTTTTTTTTTTAAATGCAATCAGAATGTCGGAAATGAAGTGAATATCAGAAAAATGTTGCATTGTCATGTATGAATATAAAATCAGAATATTTGTCATTTTTAAATTGGTTGGCTCTCCTTTTTAGTGATAACTAGACAACTCTGATTATTTCGGTCATCCTTTGAGGCGGTGGAAGGATTGATAGGAAATTAAACCCACCCCTAAGAGCTTATGCT